AGAGGCTCGATCAGGTGATGGCTCTGGGTGTCGAGCTGTAGAATCGGCCAGATCAGGTGATGGCTCTCGAAGTAGGGGGTGCTCATCATCTGTCCCATCAAAAAACCGCTTACTAGCTTGCTACCAATCAGTGGCAAGCTCAGCCTCTGTGGGTGTCAGCCTCTGTAATGGATAGCTGGCCTAATAATATAAAATCTCAAACAAAGTTAAACTTGTACTAGTAATAACTTGTTTATATATGGTATTATTTGTGTGTTAACTTACATCATTCATCGTCGTATATGGGAGTAACTCTTCCCAATCCAACATGCGGATCCTCTTCCAGGTAATAGCCCTAGGAATATCATTTGATCTTTTTATCACATATGTCCACATGCTGGGGAAAGCCTCAAATATCCAAATCTACAAACAATATAATACATAAACATTAGTATTTGTTAAATAATTAATTATAATTTTGGAAACATTATATAGAAATTCTTACCTTAAAGGCCCAAGTAAAGCCTGTCAAAGTGTATTTAGAACCATGCCCTACAAACTTTTTCGGTCCTCAAAGGCATACGACAACTTCTTCCAGGTAGTTTTTCTTAGATATGAACCCCACAGAAACATGTTCCATGCATTTAGGTCCTCTACCAATAATATTAGGTCCTCGGAGATAGGTTGTCTGCCCTCTTTGCCTAAAAAGTCGGCATGCAAAAGTAATAAATGGCATACTCGGACAACATCAAGGTCATCCATCCGAGTAAAACCATCTTTATCAAATAATCTCTTCAAGTCGTCGACGTGTAAACTCGGCTTCGACTTTGCCAGCTCAAGAAAAACCCGAGATAACCATGAAGGGCGGGCGATATGACTAGTGTACCGACCTACATCATCGTGTCCGAAGCGTAGACCAGTGATTAAGCAAAACTCCTCCCGCCCAAAACAAGTATGTGCCGGAGGAAAATAAAACCATATCTCCTCATCACCAAGTTGTATCCCCTCGGGTAGATCGTTAGTCATGGTCTGAAGAAACAAATGTGTCAACATAGCATCTCCACCCGTATGTTGCACTTTTAGCCATGGCCTGAAGCAAGTATCCTCAAACAATTTTCTTTGTAGAGGTGTAAGCGTCGACGCAATTTTAGTGGCTAGGCTTAATTTATTCCTTAAGGTCAATGCAGCCGAAAAAATTTCTACAAAAACAATAAACATACAGTTAGATATACCAAAAACTCCTTATTATACACTATAAACAGACATGATATTAAACAGTGAAAATAAAGCCAAATATGTTTCAAACTAGCACGATATTCAACCAAGTCATTATTCCATCATAGTTCACAAAATGCATCAGATAACATTTCAGAAGTAAGCACTTATATAAACATTTAAAAGGACAACATATAGGTTTAGTGCAGGTTCAAGGACAACACAAAGAGTAGTAGTTTATTCTTGAAACTTAAATTCGCAACACTGTGAAGTTAGTATTTGTCTTTGTTTTTTGGTTGAAGTAATGCAATTCATTCAAGTTTCAATTTGCAGAATAAAAGAAGTTTCTAAAACTTAAATTCGTAACGCGAAAATGAAAATCGCAACGCGAAAATGAAAATCGCAACGCGGAACTAAAATCGTGTTGCAATTTTCATTTTTGCGTTGCGAATTTGGTGTTGCGATTTAGGGTTTCTTCAACAAAAAGATAAAACAAAGACAAATACTAACTTCACAGGGTTAAAGACTAAACAGTTTAGCAGTATTGGCAGCAACTGAATGAATTTACTAAGCAATCTCAGTGAAATGATTAATCTATATATATTGAAATTACCAGTAAATTTATCATCAATATAAGAAAAATCTAATAATAATACAAAAATTTCAAAATAAAAATAAGAGATTAAAAAAACTAACCCTCGGTGGTTGATTTTCCATTTCTGACCGTGAATGGTTGTGAGGGTTGCTCTGAGAGACGGAGATAGACGGATTTCGTCGGAGATGGAGACGGATGTCGCCGTAGAGAGTGAGAGATGGAGATGAGACTGAGTTGTGATTTAGGGTTTTAGGTTAGAGATGATTTGTGATAATACTGTTTACATTTGTGTTGCGAAATTAATATTGTGTTTCGCGTAAAAACATTTGACTTTCACGTTGCGAATTTGACTTTTGTGTTGCGAATTTGACTATCGCGTTACAAATTTGACTATCGCGTTGCGAATTTGACTTCTGTGTTGCGATTTACAAATTCGCGTTGCGAAATTGGAAATTGGGTTGCAAAATTGGAATTCGCGTTGCGAATTTGTTAGTCATTTTGGCAAATCCAAAAAAAGTTGGTTAAATTCATATATTATAAGACATTTTTTGTCACTGAGGTTATTTTCTCTTTTTCAAGTCAAGGGCTTATTTACTTTTTTAGAAAAATATTTTATTTAAAAAATAATAATTTAAACTATACAAATATAAACAAAATTAAATATTAAAATATTAAAAATAAAAACTAAATTATATACATATATATTAACAGAGTGGTTGAAAATGTTATTGTTAAATGATTAATTTAATTTAGAGACGAATTTTAATATAATTTTATTTTATTTAGCAGTCTAATTATAATGTTACAGTCATACATATCAATTTTAATTTGAGTTTTATTTTATTTTTATTTTATAGAGAAATTTTATATTTCTTGAAAAATTAAATAAAAAAATCAAACACGTAGATTCCATAATTAATGAGCTTTATTTTACTCTATCTTGATATATTCACTAAAAATGCTTGTTTTAATTGATAACTATTTTTCTAATTATATATTTTATAATAATTTATACATAAATTTTGATATTATAACTTTTAAATTTTTTATTTTTTTATAAATTTATTTAGTTCAATTTTATAAAAATTTAATGAAATCGAAGAGTTCAAGATAATTAGAGACAAATGTATAAAACAAAATTTGTATATGAAGGCAAGTTCATGTTTATATAATTAAAAAAATCATGTTAAATTTGAGGTAAAATATAACAATATATTTTTATTTTTTAGAAATTTATTTTTATTTATTAAATAATTTTGTATTTTAAGTTAGAAATATTTTTTTTCTAAATCAAATAAGTCCTTGAATTTAGAAAAAAAATCAATTTGACCATTGAACTTGAAAAAAAATCCAATTTAACTCATCTGACACATCATAAACTACGTCATCAGTCTCTGTGGATTATCACGTAAGCATCATGAAGTGTCACATCATCACCGTAACGGTCAATGACAAAAATCGTTGGTCCAAAAACCACATTATATCTAATTTCTAAGTTTGAGAGTCATTGGGTGTAAAAAAAGTACGAGTGTCACATTAATTTTTTAAGGTACAAGGGTCTCACATATTCTTTTTGTCAATATTTTACTAATTGTTCAATACACCTTAATGTTTTAAAGACAAGTCTTTAACAAACATAAAATAAGCACGATAACTCATAGCCTTTAGGATCAAATCACCAACAGTCGAGGTATTCATTGATTTCCTCCAAAAATGAAACATGATCATTAATCATAATTGTTGGTTAATCGATTGTTAACCCTTTCATTACTATAATTTAAAACATGGAACGAATTAGAATTAAAATATAATATAATACTAACAAATTAAAAATAAAAAAGAATTATAAATTATATTATAAAGATTAACCATCCTCTAAATCTTTCAACTTAAGGAATACTTTCCTCTATCTCGAGATTGACATATTCAATCTTATGAACAAATAAGAGCTTACACCGTTTAGCTAAGGAATAGGACTAAATTTTATTTTTAATTGTAGTTGTATTTTTCTTATATATATATATATATATAATTATCAATTTAATTTATTAAAGTTATTTTTTATCACCCCTATTCTTATCCAAAAGGAACGATAACCTCCTATACAAGACCAATCACTAAAGCAAGAGTGTTGGGTAGTTTACATTTTATAACATACGGTATACATATTATTGTCTAAATTTTAATTCATAATATTTTGTACCTCTTAACTTAAATCCATATCTTAAGTTTAAATAATATATTTTATTTTTATTTTAACTTAAAAATACATCTTACTCTTATCTTAATTTTAAAAATATAGTTTATTCTTTTATTAAATTTAAAATTTATATTTTGTTATTATCTTAACTTAAAATAATATATTTTATTCTTATCTTAATTTAAATATTTTTATTTTATTCTTATAAATTTTAAAAGTAATATTTAATACAGTTTTTGAAAAAATTTAAAAATAAAACATAATATTAATATATTTTTTGAATGTAGGGAAGCAAAACTATGAAAAAATCGAACTGTACTATTCGCGGTAATTGTCCCCAAAGAAGATCGAGTTAATCGCTAGAAGCCGCTGTGTAGCCAAATCTTGATCATCTTATGTCATTTACATTTAGGATCAATTCATCCAACTATATCTTATTGTGTTGATTTTGAATATTTATGCATTTGTAATTCTCGAATTTCAATTGTATTTATATTAATATCTCACTTTGGAAAAATACTTTTATGATTTGTTTTATATATTCAATATTCATAGACAGTCACACACCATATGATTAATTTTCTAACTCAAATCCTTATTTATGATTAAATCAAATAATATGTTTTATGAAATTATGCTTTTATATTTTAGAAATTATAAAATTAAATAATTTTGAACTTAAAATTATAATATTTTTTCCATTCTTACGGTTGGGCTAAATGCTGTATTTGGGTGAAACTACTAACATTTTTATTCCATTCCCTGATACGTGTAATCTTTTAGTTGACGACACTTGTCCTCTTTCACTTTTGCAGTTTGTCTTCTTACTTCTCTTAGCTTCCGAAAGACGGATATCATTAATCGATCAGAAAAAGTTCTCTGTTTTCACCCCCACCGTTACTTTGACGTGTCAAAATCCTAATGGTTCGTCAATCTAAAGAGTCTACCATCTTCATATCGGCCAAACAAATGATTATTTCCAATTACGCCACGCCAACGCTCACAACTTGCATTGTCTTCCTCTGCTCAACACTCTAAGTGCCTTGCCTTATCCTCCTTGGTCTTTGCCCTTTTATACCTTTCTCACAAGTCATAATCTTCAGAATCCAAATTGAATTAGGGATTAGGGTTTGTTGGGTGCCCTGTGTTTTTGGTGTTTTGATCGCCCTAATATAGAAAAGAAGTTCAATCAAGATCCCTGCCATGGAAGGAGAACTACTAGATTGGGAGGTGCTCCACAGCTCAGACTCTGAGTCGAATTCTATCATTGCTAACTCGCCCGAGTCGAGGAATCTTGGGAACATCGCAGGTGATACTGAAGGGATGATAAGGTCTGATTACTTTTCTCTTGATAACCAGAGTATGTATGCAAAGGAGGGGGATGTGAGTGAAGAAGGCTCTATCGAGTCGGATAATCCGAGTTGGATTGATCCCAAGCCGGTGACTCAGTACAGGAGGAATAATTCGGGCGATTTTCGGTCCGATTCCGGCAGTGATCGGTCAGGTGATCGTAAATTAAGTGATTTGGTTGTGAAAAAAGACTTGGAGTTTGCTGAGAACGAGAAAGCCCCGGATTTGTTCCAAGGGATTGAAAAAGCGGAAGCTAAGATTGACGAAATGGTTACATGTAAGCCTGCTGGTACTAAATTTAGTGAATTCGATAGGACAAAGGAGTTAGGTTTCGGTGAGTTTGGCGATATTCAAGACCAAGACAAGGATTTGGGCAAGTTCTGGCCTGATTCTGGTGGAGATGGTTTGATTTCAATGAAGTTACAGGATATTGAGAAAGAGGCTGGCATTGAATTTAGCGACTTTATTGAAAAGGGAGCTGAGTTGGAGAATTCAGATGAGCTCGAAGATGGGAATAACTCAACTTTGAATTCGGAAGTAGGAGACGGTAATACAAATGGTAATGAAGGTCCAACTGTTGATGAAATGAAGATGCATGCGAAATCGGTTAACGAGGGAGACAAGAAGAAGGTAGCATGGTGGAAAGTTCCTTTTGAGCTCTTGAGATACTGTTTTCTCAGGGTTAGTCCTGCTTGGTCCTTCTCTGTAGCGGCGGCCGTGATGGGTTTTGTTATATTAGGACGTAGATTGTATAAGATGAAGCGGAAGAGCAGCAGCTTGCAGATAAAGGTTACCCTGGATGATAAGGTCAGTTGCTGCTTTTGTTTTTCCTGTTATTGTTTTCAATATTTGGAAATTGGATAATGAATCGTGTCTTAGATTTATTCTGGAACCTGACAATATAAGTTATTGGTTGTCCTTGTTGTTTTAGGATTTAGATCCATGTCTGCCCTAGGGTTCATGTTGCAATTGAATTTCATTCTCTTTTATACATGAATCTTTATGGTCTTCTTCGTTTTTGTTTCATTGTCCCTTTGAATTTCTCCATGACTAGTTGAGACCCGTTGCTTGCTTGCTTTGTCAGTGTTTTTGCCTGCATCCTTACTAATTTCTTTCTTTGGAAATATTTGATCAGCGGATGCTTTCCCGAGTGAACCTCTTTATGGATTATTAGTTCTTTATCTAAGCCCTGAAATTTTCTCTTCTTTTTGCCTTGGTTCACTGCAAATATAGTTGCTTATCACTGTAATTAATTAAATACAATAAAATAAGGAAAGTAATGTCAATCTAAATAAAGTCCTACCGAAAAAGAACTTCTGAATAGAGTCTTACCAAAAGCTTATTCCATTCTTTAAGTCCTACCAAACAACTTGCACCAAGTTTCCACAACACATTTTCTTTTGTGGTGGGCAACTTTGTGCATTGTATTCATCTCCTCCTCCTCTGTTCTGTTCCCTGCCACTAACACAACCTTTAAGGCTTTAACTAAATGCTGAGCGGAAAACACGCGTGTAATAGAAAAACCAATTCAAGATTCAAACATCAAAGTCTCTCACCATTAAATTGGACTTAAGACTATTTAGCTGACAGCTGAATCATATCCATCGTATTATCATGGAGATTGTACATGTTATTGATATCTAAGGTACGTTGGATTGTCAGGTATTTTAGCAATCGTATCCTAAAGTGTTAGGGAGTTCTGCTTTGCCTTCTGTCTAGTCTCTTTCATGTAAACGGAAGGTAACCTTACATGGCTACATACTAAACAGAGCCAACTGAAAAATGTCATGTCTCCTTACAGAAAAATGACAGACCAAACAAAACAATTCCTGCATTCCTGAAGTGTTGCAGAAAAAGTTAGGAGGCTTTAAATCCTGGTTGATCCATCCATTTATATTTTGGGTAAATTACGTGTTTAGTACCTAAAGTATCAGTTTTGGTCCATTTTAGTACCTACACTCTCAATTTTTTCAAAACCATACCTAAAGTTTAGTTTTTTCAAAATTGAAAGTTTAGGTACTAAACGCGTGAAGTTTTTAACGACGGGGTACTAAAATGAAACAAAAACTAAACTGTAGGTATGGTGTTGAAAAAAATGGAAGTGTAGGAATTAAAACGGACTAAAACTGATGGTTTAGGTATTACATGCGTAGTTTACCCTTATATTTTTCAGAAACACCAATTTTTATGTCTTCCCTTCCTATGTCTTGCGGACATAGAGGTGTTAGGATATAATGGAGGATGTGATTTGAGGAATACTTACATTTTTAGATCCGCATGTTTTGTTCATCCTGGTTAAAAACTTTTTTACCTTTTTATGATTAAAATCTTATCCTGATTTCTTTTCAAGCATAGAGGTTTTTTTTTAATGAATTTGGGTTCTTGTTATACTTTGATTGTGCCCCTTTTTTATGGGTACCATTTGTTTTTAGTATTTGTTGCTGAATTTGAGATACAGTGAATCTAGTGATTCATGTAATTTAAACAAAATAATAATGCAAATTGTTTTTACGTTGGAATACACTTGCACATGCACAAATTAGTAGAAATCTCATTACATTAATTTAGTATTGTGGATTGTGCATGTAGAGTTTTCATTAAATAGAAGTGCCTCAACTATTATCCCTTGTAAAAAAAAACTAGAAAATATATATTGAAAACAACAATATTCTCTATCGACATGATAATAATGTTGGATCAGTTTGAAACTTAATATGCAAAATGAGTACAATTATATTGGCAAATTCAATGGTCGGTTTGTTCAGATATTTATGTACAAAAGTTTTGAAAGTAGGTAAATTATACACTTGTACAAATGGACAAATGGGTTGGTTGACTGCTGGTACACATCTAACGTTTTGTTATTTCCTTGAGTTGTACTTGCAGAAGGTTTCTCAGTTCATGACTCGTGGGGATCGACTCAACGAGGCATTTTCAGTTGTAAGACGTGTCCCAATTATACGTCCTTCACTGCCCACTACCACGGGGTTGAATCCATGGCCTGCGATGAGTTTGAGATGAAGGTGATACTGTAAAAAAGAAACAGAAAGACCGAGGATTGTGTCCAAAAGGTAAGCCATAATATTATGTTTGGTTTGTTGTGTTGATGAAAGGATGGCTATTTTCAGTCTACTCTTTTCTTTATGTATGTATGTATGTATATATGTATGCATGTATATGGGTTCTGAATTGATCAATATGCAAAGCTTGAGACTGTATATCTGTTTTGAGTCCCCTTTATGTTGTAAAACCTTCACCAAATTATCATATTATATAAGCAGATCTTTCTATTTGTAGTTCGTTCGATGGGATTATTCGGGCATGGTTGGGATTCTTATCACCGATGTTCTGTTGCCACAAAAACTTGTAAATAAATCTCCTCGAGAATTATCCGAGGAATTTGAACTTCAACACAAGTCCGTCCTTGCCCCCAATAAGGAAAAACTGCAGGAACTTGATTTTTTTTTGCCTCGAAAGCGACTTCTTACTATATTTTGCTAACGAAGATTGCGTAAGTGAGAATATTGTTCTCATTAGAGAATATAGATTTAAGAGAAAAAATATTCCTTTAGAGAATCTAAGATTTTAATCGGGATAAGGAGGACATGATATTTGTGGATAATCTAATAAAAACATACCTTCCACTTGTGACAAGCATTTCGACTTGCGGACGGTTTTAATTTGCTAATGTATTGGCGGGGTGATCATTTCGAAAGAAATAGATGTGTGAGCACCAGTTCATTGGAAAAAGCATAAAAAATCCAAATCAAGAAATTGAACCTGAAACACTCTTGTTCAATGGGCCAATGATCAGAGTTTCTTTTGTATGATCATTTCCAAAGACGGCAATTTTACTTGGACAATGTGTTGTTCGTATGGTGTAGGAGAATTATTTTCTCACTGACATGAATAATGCATAGGAGAAAATGTCCAAATCATCTAGCTCCCTTGGAAAGACGTTCGAAACATACATTATTTTTCGGAATTGATACGACACTACATTTAATTTGGGAAAGATGTCGTTTTTCTGACGTCTTTTGATGATCTAAGTGTTTTTTTTTCGTTTACTATTTATTTTATTCTATTTAAAAAAATAATTCTTGTAATATCCCATATGAAATATTTATTCATTATATTATTCCATCAAAATTGCCGAAAGAAATAGATGTAAACACTAGTATAAAGAAAAAAAGAAAAGAAAATCCAAATAAAATATTAAACCCGAAACAAACCTAAGCCTAAAATGGTCAAGATAACAATAAAGTCACGGATACAAACCACATCACTCAACTCCATTGAGACCGAGTTAATTATAAATATAATAATAATTAAGAGTTTAAAATTCAATTATAATTCTAAAATTAAAAAAATGGGGCTAAAAAGTAATCCAACCTTGTCATGATTTAATTTTAGGGTAAATCGTATAATTAGTATCCGAATTTTTAGGGCGCTTGCATTTTGGTCACACAACATTATTTAATTTTAGGGTAAAGTATATAAATAGTCTACGAACTTTTAGGGTGCTTGTATTTTGGTCACCCAACTTTTGAAACTTGCAATACAGTCCGTAAACTTTTAGTTTGTTTTCAGTAAAGTCCTGTCGTTACCTCCGTTAGTTTTTGCTGACGTGACACTTAATTTCCGTTGACCCTATCTTCTTCTTCGTCTTCTTCAAACACTGCTCAATCAAGGTTTATAATTTATAAACTGACAGCTACAATCTAACCATGTCTACAACCTTTTATTTCTGCTAATTTCTCTACTCACGCACTAAACCAAACCCGGAAAAGGAAGAAGAAGAAGAAACAGATTACAAATACTATGAAACGAAGTATAAACTTTGATATTTCATTAACAATCCATCTTGTGTTTTACAAATACTTATTCATAATACATCTAAACAGAACAAAGAATTATAATAGCAGATCGGGAATGTTTTCATTATTTAGTTCCATCATCATATCATTATAACATTTAATCAATCAAGTAGTAGTCGTTTACTAGTTGAAACATCTATGCATTCATCAGATATTATGCCGCCGCATTAGACGTAGATGAAACATGGCCGATAAAGGCCCGTCCGTCGATGCAAGGCAGGCCATTACGGCCAGGAATATGGGTGCAGTCATTGTGATCAGAAGGAGGGATAGGTTCCCCCTTTTGGGCAGACTGTAGCACAAGATCACGATAACCTTCGTTTAGAACCCGGCCGGAAGAGTTAAACGGGCGAGTGCATACGAAAAAAAAAACACGGCTGTCGTGACAAGAAAATGACGTGGATCGCCCATTTTAACGTAACCAGAGCTTGCACTTGGTCTAAACTGACAGCTTAGAACCAACCTGGAAAGCAGAAGAGGGTGTTCCGAAAGTGAAACCTTTAGGAAACTGGCTCCGCTAATATTATGGGAAAATGAACCAACCTCGTTTGAGTTGAGTTTGAAGAAGAAGAAGAAAAAGAAGAAGGGTTTAACGGAAGTTAGGTGTCACGTCAGCAAAAAAAACAACGGAAGGTAACGACGTAGACTTTACTGAACACAAACTAAAAGTTTGATGATTGTATTGTAAGTTTCAAAAGTTGGGTGACCAAAATACAAGTGCACTAAAAGTTTGAGGACTATTTATATACTTTACCCTTAATTTTATTGATTTTAGAATTATCAAGAATTAAAAGAGAAAAAATATATATAAAAAAGGTTTTAATTGGAGTTTATTTTTGTTGATTTTCAAAACTAATAGAGGTTAAAAGAAAAAAATGAACTAAAAGAAATCAGGGAGCTCAATTTCAAGTTTTTAATAATTTTAGAATTGAGAAAATTATTTAATACTCAATTAAACATATTGTGTAAATTTAGATTACATAAATTTACCCATTTTAATATTATATATATCATATTTAGGTTTTAGAATTTATAATTTTAGGTTTAAGTTTAAGTTTTAAGGTTTAAGAATTATGATTTCAAATTTCAAGATTTAATTTTTATGGTTGTGTAAACTTTAGTTTATATTTTAAAAAAAGTTAAAAATAATAGACATAAGAAAAATTAAACCATAATAAGTCGAGTGGTCAAGACATTTTTCGTTATCCAAATCTAGTGAATTTTAATTTGATAAAATATGATTAATTCTTTTATAAAAAATTTAATTTTTTATTGGATCGAGTTTTATGAAGGGTAGAGTTAGGCGAGTTTGGAATCAGATTTAGGGTGAAAATCTTTGATCCAACTCAATCTAAAATAAGAGCAAAATTCTCTTTTATATATTTAGAGAAATTATTATAATACACCTCTCTCTATAGGTATTTTTTTACAATTGTCTCTCTACTTTTATCAAATACTCCCTCTATCTTACTTAAATGATCCCTTATTGATTTTTTTGTATATATTTTTTTTAATTTTGACTTATTATTATTTAAAATTTGTTATTGATAAAAATATAAAAATATATTTTAAATTTTTTTAATAAAATAGTTTTGAAATATATATTTAATAAAATTTAGTTTATAAAATATTTAAAATAATAATGATCAAAGTTTAAAAATTTTGACTTTTAAAAAGTCAATAAGGGGCATCTTCAGTGAGAAGTAGGGTTGTGAGACGAGATGAATCGTGTGCTACTCGAGGTTAATTCAGTCATAGCTCGATAAATACTCGACTCGAATGGACATGACTCGAGCTTGACTCGAGTTCTTCACGAGCCGAAACGAGCTTTGACTCGAAAAGTTTGTGAGCAACTAGAAAATATAATATATTAAGATTTAAAAAAAATTATTAATAATATTAGCATTTATGTGTTATTTTTTTTAAAAAAAAAAATCAATATAAGATTTTCATGTATTCAAGGTTCAGGTTCGAGTTTTAGTTTGAGGCTTCAATCGAGTTAAGTTTAAGATTTTTTTTTTCATTTCGAGTTTTTTCAAACTTTTAGGAGCTTCAACTCATAGTCTCGAGTTCAAGTCGAGATTGAAAATTTTAGGCTCGAGAGTTTTCGAGTCGATCAAGCTCTGAAGTACTCGAGCTCGACTCGGCTCGTTTACAACGTTAACTGAGATGGAGGTAAATAATGCAAATATGAATAATTACTATTGTGCCTCTATATTTTTCAATTATCTTTTTGTTTTTTTTTTGTTTCAAATTCACTCGGAGCAAGTTTTAATTTTAAAATTCAGATCGAGTTTGAATCGAATGAATTTTTTATTAAATATTATATTAAATAGATTCAGATGAAAACTTTATGTTTTCGAATTGAATTTGAGAAGACTAAAAACTCAAACTTATCTGATTTATCGATCCCTCATCATGGTAGCTTCGACCTTGGCAATGTAGGTATAACAATGTACAATATAAAATGAATCAATCTATTTTAGTGGTTAAATGAATAGTTGTCATTTCTAAAAGTCTTAAGTTCAAACATCAAAAATTATAAAAATATTTAAGTGTTTATTATCAAATGATTTATAATCTTTAAAACATATACTAACACCCATAAAAACTAATGATTAATGAAAAGAAAACAATGTACAAAATACATTGAACCCTTGTTATCAAGCTAACATACATTGAACAATGAACATTTCGTTCTCTTTGAAAGGACATCGAACAGTATAAGAATGCTATGTATATCTAGCACGATGGAGTTCAACTAAAATACGATGACCAATAAGCATCTTTTCCATGTGTTTTTAATTTAAATTTTTTCGATAATTGCACCCGAAAAGAAACAGTATAAGAAAACATGGTCCTAAAATAGTAACTATTTATGTGCAGACATTTATTTATTTTGTCTTTAGTACTGTAATTTGAAAAAACAGTCCACATTTGTGGTTGGCCGTTTGGACAATTATTTATCACAATTTTCAATGATAGCCGATAGATTTTACTGTTGAATGACATACACAAGGATAAATATAACGTATAAATGGGAAAAATGGATGAAATAATGCATTTGAAAAAATTATTTATCAAAGTAATCCATTTTTAACATTATTTCTCGAACTATGCCAAATAATACAATATAAGAGTACATGGAGTCTTCAGAATCTTCAATTAAAGACTCTAAGATTAACCCACGAAGGTTGACCTGAGTGAAAGTGGCTCTGGTCGCTTAAACAAGTGGTCTCAAGTTCGAACACTTGTAAATGCAGAAAACCTTCTTCGGAGAGGTCCCCACCTTTCGTGCCCGACAGTACCTCGGATGATTAATCTCAGGCAAAGCCTGGGGACACCTTCGAATACCAAAAAAAAAACTCCAAGATTATTATACATTTTTAGCTTTAACAAAATCAAAAACTTATAAATTACTACGTGTCTTCCACCTAAAAATCACATAGTATTTTTAACGCCCTTCCCTTATACCAGGAAAATAAACAGTTATGTGCAACAACTGATAATATTTGTACTAGCATATCCAGAAAAAAATAACATAAGATAATATATTATCACATTTTATTGATAAAAATAATCATTAAAAAATATCACAAAAATATTAACGTTGAAACATAAAATGATGTAAAAATTAAAAATATATTGCAAAATGTCATATCATGTCATATCAATATCATTTTTAATTTTTTAATAATAGATGACTAAATAAAACAAAATGTAACGTTATTAATAATTTAAAAAAAATAATTCAATGATCAAAACAAAAAATAAAATAATAAGTGGATAACTAAATATGTAATTTATCTTTATTATTAAATTCCTAAAAAATCAAACAAAATACTAAAGGGATTCACTTATAGGAAATGAAATATTAACATTCAACAAAATAATTTAACCATCTGTAATTTACAATACTTATTTAATAAATTCTATACAAACATTTAATTTGTTATTATTGTTCAGAAAAATCAAATGTCATTTTAATATTTTATATAAATATAAAACTATGGGAATTCGACCTTACAACTACTGCAAACATAAAACTATCCACAAATATATAAAATGTTGACTCAGTCTCCCTTGTTTGCTGATACTTCTCATTGATCATACTTCAACAAAACTCTAGTTGATTATTTACTCTTTTAATATAAACATTATATTCGTACCACCAAACAATATAGGAATTTATATACATAAGACTCAATTGGGATTTATATAAGAATTTACAGACCGCCTACTAAGAGTGACGGTAGTAAGATTCAAACTTGACCTTACAAGCTTAAATTCCTAAATCTTAACCACTTGTGCCAACACTTATTGACGATAACATGAACATCATTGATCACATAACTAATTAATAAATCTTACGATTGACTATTCTATTAATATGTCTATTTCAATGCCTTGAGGTATGATTATTATAAATAGATAGATGCAAATTCCAATTCAAGCCAAGCAAGTGAGAGCAGGAGGAGAGATCATAAGAGGGATAGAGTTTATTTTTGTTATTTTTAGATAGAATATGGAGTTGGAAGGTATGAGTTTAAGACCAACAAGACATGCTGGCCTTAAAGGAATCAAAGTGAGGAAAGAAATGGAGAGACCACGTGGTGAAGAAGAAGAAGAAGAAGAACCGTTGAGTCCCATGGCTCGTATGTTCCATGAGCCTCAGTCTAACGTGTACACTGTTTCTATTTTTGGGTTTGAGAACCCCATCAACCCACACATTTTCAAAGCAAAATGGCTCGGCACTGTTGCTAGGCATCCTCGTTTCTCTAGTGTGCAGGTAAATAGGGATAGATCGAAAAAAAAACGAGTAGAATAATTATTCTTCTGAAAATATTTAATTATCATAACATAAAATCTTATGTATGTCCCTATAGGCTATAGGTAAAAAGGTTATATCATTCAAGGTTGCACGCAGGATTCTTGATCCCTTTGATGCATACATATGGAGAAATTATATATTATTATTTTAAAAAATTAAAAAATTATAACATCTTCTGACACGAAATTTCTTATTTGACCTTTTACAATTACAATTTGATACTAATTCTTTACACAACTTTTGAACTTGTGCATTTTTAATTTTTTTTATATGGTCAATGACTTTGAACTATTTGATATCATACCTCCTACATACATCATTTTTTAACTTTGATATTATCTGTAGTTAGCATATAAACCATTTATTTATGAACCAAATTCTTTTACATAAACTTGTGCACTTTAACTTGTAATTTAAAAATAAATCCAATAGGTTACTGATGAGAAGAATGGTGGGGAAATGAAATGGGTGAAAACAAGAGTAGACATAGATGAACATGTTAAAGTCCCCATGATCGATCAAGATATGGCCTCCCCCGATAAGTTTGTTGAGGATTACGTTGCCAACCTTAGCAAGACCCAGATTAGCACATCCATTCCCATGTGGGATTGCCATATTTTAAACCTCAAGACCTCCGATGCCGAATCCACACTGGTGTTTCGAGCTCATCACTCCCTCGGCGACGGAACATCTCTCGTGTCGCTGATACTCTCTTGCTCCGACACGTTGCAGAGTTCTCCGGCGAAGAAGGAACCGAGATCGGCCTCCGCCCAATGGTTTTCGATTCGGTCTCCCTTGTTGTTAACGTGGAATACGTTGGTTGATGTATGGATGTGTGCAGCAACAACGTACTTTTTCAAGGACACTGAGACACCCCTCAAAGCACCTTCGAGTAGCGTTGCTTTTACTCCTCGGAGAATCGTGCGTCACACTTTCTCTTTGGATGATGTCAAATTGGTGAAGAATGCAACCAGCACCGTTAGTCCCTGAAATTTAAATTTCTTTTAAAATTTTATTAGTGCTCATTTATTTTATATTGTTATAATATATGCATATCCGTTCTAGAAAAATATTTCTGAATCCGTCACTCATATAAATTAAAATCATTTTCATTATAATGCAGACGGTGAATGATGTGATGTTAGCAATCACTCACGCAGGATTATCTCGCTATCTGAATCGAAAATACGGTAATTATGATTTTGAAAATATATTTTATATTTGATCTCGAACAGTTAATCATGTATTAATAAGTGTATACGATAAGGCAGGCGAAGCTAAACATGATAATGGAGAAGCAAGAGAATGGGAAAACAACCTTCCCAACAATATTCGTCTTACAGCGACTCTTTTTGTCAACTTGAGAAAATCTCCACAGCTTTACGTAATTACCTAATCAGTACCTTATCTTTTCATTTCCTTATTTATTTCATTGAATCTCATTATAATTGATTTAACAGCCCTTGGAAGAAATGGTGAAGAAGAATAGCAAAGGCGAGTGGGGGAACAAGATTGGTTATGTTCTCTTCCCTTTTAAAATTGGACTGAAAGATAACCCATTGGATTACATTAAAGATGCCAAAGCAAGAATGGATAGGAAAAAAGCTACACTTGAAGCTAAATTCAGACTGTTTATGGCCAAGGTTTTCGTAAAGTTTTATCGTACCAAGGTAAGAATCTTTTCATGCAAGATTAGTGTTTAATTATGTTTTGTAACTAGAAAAAGAGAAAAGTGTATTGAGAAGGTAAACATTGATGGTATATTTGCAGATGGGCAGTTTTCCATTAACAACTATGTGGTTCTCGAACTTGGGGGGACCTCGGGAGGAAATTAGCCTTTTTGGAAATCGAGTCACCTCCGTCTCTGCATCTTTGTATGGTCAGCCAGTGGTAAGTCACCTCTGAAACTAGTTTGCACTATGTAGAGCTCGAAACTGGAATTACGAAGCTTCCAAAACTTTTAACTTTATTGTTGTGCCAAGTTCAGCCGGTGGTAATTCGCATATCACGATAATTAGCGGCGTTTGTTTCCAAAACGCGGTTATAGAGCTTGACTTTTTACGATATTTGTTTCCAAAATGTCACTATAGAGCTTAACCTTTTGCGACATTATTGATAAAAAACGCCGCTAATTGTTGCGGAATTCGTTATAATGACGCTTTTTGTAGAACAATGAGGAGTTTTAGAGGCACTTAAAAACCTGTTGTAAACCTAAAAATGTCGTTAAAATTCTGTTTTCATGTAGTGGGATTGTGTCTCTTCTGAATCAGCTCGTAAGTTATATTTTTATTATCATTTTTCGATTATTGAACTTTAAAATTTCTGAAATTTGTATCTTTCTAACAACTAAAATCCTTGACATGCCATTAACAAGTTAATGTGATCCAACAATTAAATAATAAAGAAAAAAAGGATGACATGACCATTAACAATTAAATCTATTTTTTGACGGTGATAATTATTTACCCTTCGGTTTACAAATAATGATAAAGAAATAAGGGTGATATATACTCTCTCTTCTTCCGTTGGTCTATGTGGACCGTAAAAAACCACTAAAATATCAATTCTCTCGTAACAATGATTAATGATTGAATTTAATGATTTAGGGTTTTATCCTGCAGGCACTGACAATTCATATCCTGTGCTACGGGAAGAAGATAAGCATGGTGTTGTCAGTGGATGAAAGCATAATTTCCAACCCATATGAGTTGTGTGATGATTTTGAAGAAGCTCTCAAACTCATCAAGACTATGATCTTAAAGAAACTCTCAAACGCATCAAGACTCTGATCTTGGAGAAACTCTCAAACTCATCAAGACTCTGATCTTGGAGAAACTCTCAAACTCATCAAGACTACTTTGAAGGTGTAATATGTAATTACGAATAATCTGTCAGTCATTTCCGATAACAGTAGCGAGCCGTGGGCTGCTTAAATAATTTTAGGACGACGTCTACCGTCTACGCTTTTACTTTATTTATACGATATCATGTTTATGAACTATTTTGTTCAATATTCTTAAAGGGATTATTTTAGAAAATCACTTCTTGCTCTGTTAATAGCATTTATAATTGGTGCCTGCAATAGAAACCTAGGAAAAAAGTTTTACATATATAAAATGTTACTGTTCAAATGCTACTGAACAAGGGTTTTCTCTAGTCAGCTTCTATGAGAGAATTCATGTAGAAAACAACCCCATATGAAGTGCAACATACATACAAACCAACTGATCTAAAATAAAATCAAAAAACATAGGAAAAGCATTTAAAGGCAAAAGCAGAAGTATGCTTAGACAATACAAAATTTTCAAGTCGAACTTATAAGATTGCAATACTGACTATTAAAGAGAAATATAATTAGTTCTAAGACAGAAACTTTACATTCAACAATTGAACTTCTACAAAAAATGATTTTACACAACTAAACATAAATAACAGATGCCTAAGGGATCAATATTGAATATAAAAATAGGGGGAAAGATAAAGGAATTGAGAAGAAGAGATCCATCTTCCATTGGGGAGTAAACTCGCCTGTGAGAATGGCTTCATTCACAATGGCACTTCCCGATAGTATAAGCATGTCTACTGGAACAGACTTATCTTCTTCGTTTTGACCAGATGAGCGACCAATGGAGACAACATCCCCAGGCAATAGATCAGTTCCAGATAGTTTCACCCACCTGCAACTCCCAAAGTTTGAATGATAAATCTAAAACTCTAGAAAAGCTTAAAAATAGTAGTAACATTAATAGCGATAAAAAAATCACACACACTATACGAAACAATATGCTGATGTTTACAGAAATATACTTCCCACATCGATGCACCATTAGAGTCTGGCTGTCCACTCTAACGCGTCTTAACTCAGTCTTCAACCGGCTTTTTTCCATTGTTGACTCAAGCATGAACATCATGAATAAGGTGAACAAACTGTGATACCAATACTCATCAAGACACCAAAGACCGACACAGAAGACCTACAAAAAGCAAGATAAAAATGCCACAAGAAAAGAAACCTGGTCATCAGAGAAAAAATACTCTACATTTTAAAGACATTTTGAACAAGGGGAAAACCTGAAAGACAAAAAAGGCTCCATGCAATGTTCTTTCATTGAAACGCGCAAATTGCTTCTGAAATTGCATAATAAAAAATAAAAAGCAAGAAACAAAATTAAACTAGAGAATACATGCATAACTAAAATGTAAACAAGTAAATAAATAAAAGAGAGATAGTAACTTGCCTGCTTAAGAATATGAAGTGGCACAACCTCCTTCGAACCACAAAACTTCACCGGAGTAATTATGCAGATATCAGCATGGTGAATATTATTAACCTGCGCACACCATTATATTAAAAGATTCAAAAAATAAATAAGTAAACCAATCCTACACTTGTACCAGACCGGAATTGCAATAGAATCTTTATCACCTTGCTATATTGAACAAAACACTTGAAATCCACGGACCAAGCCGTGAAAAGCAAGACCAATATGTGAGTGATAACAAGGCCGCCAAAGACGATGGCTGCATCAACGAAATCTATGCTAGGAACTACCATAGTTAACCAAAGCAAATAAAGCATTGCGAAAGGCCAAACATCTAATCGCCATGCTGCGTGTTTCTTTCTAAACAAATCGACTTTGTCCACTACTTTACCACCAACATGGAACCTCGACATTTCAAATCCACCGCCCTGTTAGTTCACCGATAAAGTGAGTGTAAGGCATGGTTTTCAGAACCGGACCGGTTAGCGAACCAGCTATGCTATCGGTTCACTGGTTCAACCGGTCGAACCGGTCGGAAGAACCGGACGACGTCATAATTATTTAAAAAATTAAATAAAAATACCAAAAATATTTAATAAAAATATTTTTTTATATCACAAGTCATATTCAAAGCAAGTCATAACATATATAAGTTAAAAACCATAAAATCAAGTGAAACAAAATGATTCAAATTAACTACAACATAATATTTAAGGTAAAACATATTAAATAATAAATATAATTATATAACTATAATTAAAAAATCAATTTTGGGCTAAAAAAATCATAACAAAATGATATTGTTTGGTTTAATTTTTTTTAAAAACAATCCCACATAGCTAAGAAACATAGAAGAGCATCTCAAAAGTCTAAAAGAAAAAAATATGAGAACAAAACAATCTCACATGGCTAAAAAACATAGAAGAGCATCCCAACTAACTTCTATAAATAATAGAGGTAATTTGACAATCAAAATCATGGAGTATTTTGGTGAGCATTGAGTGAACTATTCTTTCACTTCAATCAAGCTTCTAAATTTTTTTTTTGAATTCAAGCCTTTTTGAGTTCAAGTTTCAATATTATATTTTGAGTTCGAGTTGAACTTGATAATTTTTAGCTCGTGAGTTTGAGTCGAGTTGAGCTTACTTTTAAAGTTTTCAAGTTCAAGTCAAGCTTAGCAATACTCGAGTTCGACTTGGCTCGTTTAACAAATGACGTCATTTGGTTTAATTTAAAAAAAAAAACAAAATTGGCGGTTTTTTTTTTTTCCGATTTTCAGCCGGTCTATTTCGAACGGTTCAGTGGTTCCGGCCGGTTCACTAGTAGCGGTTCAACCGGTATAGATTGAACCGGACTAGGCAGCGGTTCCCGGTTGAACTAGTTGAACTAGCCGGTCCGGTTTTCAAAACACTGGTGTAAGGAAGTGGGAAACAAAGGAAAGAGAGAATACCGCTTTGGAACAAGGCTTAAATATAAAAAAGTTTAGTGTCTAACGTTTTTTTCGTTTCAGTTTGGTGTCTATTGTTACACTCCGTAACAGACCGTTAATTTTGGTTGTTAACCCATTAAAAATGCCACGTGATTTATTTTTTAATATTAAAAAATATTTCTCTTCTTCTTCTCCTTTATCGTCTCTAGCTTGGGTTTCCAGTTATGGCACGATGAACCGACGAGCAACGTGTATTGTTTCTGCAACTGAGGCGTCATGCACACTCTACTTGAAAAACTCTCTTCGACATCGTGTTTCATTTTACTTTCTTCCATCAGCTCGCATATAAACTCATCGGAAACTTGTATTCTCAAACACCCGGACTCACACTTTTTGACTTGGAGATTTGCACAACAATAATTTCAGGGAAGTAGAAGTGAATGAGAGGAGGAAGAAGAAGAGGAAGAGAAATACTAAAATCGCAGCCGCCGCCACGAGCAGCAAAACTCATCATCTCGAAAGTGAGTTCCTCGGCCACAACTACTTTCTTCTTCCCCAACAAGTTTTCCAGACGGCTTTATCATTCGTCACCATTGCTTCCTTCGCCAACGCTCGATACTCGTCTCCTTGGTTGGCTAAGAAATTTTCTTACATAAATCTCCATTGTAAAGCATTCCAGCATCAAGGTTATTAACACATGAATTCATTATTTCTTGTACCTTCATTTATAATTATTTATGTTTTTTGAAAGAATCAACTTATTTCAGTGATTAATGAATCGTTGTTGTTTTTAGAGGTCACGAGTTCAAGCACCAGCGACTGCATCAAGGTGATTGAGCGACCAATGTCAAATAGTTGAGAGTATATAGAACAAATATTACTTTGTAATCACCTTAACTTAATAAAAAAACTTATGTTTTTTTTATATTTTTTAAAAATATTTTCCACATATTTAGTATAACGTTGAATTTAAAGAAAATAAAAAATAATTGTAACTCGATTTATAAAAACTACCACGAAAAATTAAACATTTTAATCAAAATATTAATTATTAAAATATTTAAAATATATTTATTAATATTTTTAATATTATAATAATATATTCAATTATATTATCATAATGTAAGATATTATATTTTTATTTTAGTAATATATAATAAATTATTAATAAAATTTTATATTATTTATTAATTTCATAGAATAATAATAATAATAATAATGTTAAGTTCTTATGATAAATAAAATTATTTATTATATTTAATATTTGTAATAAATATTCTCTAAAAAATTCATCAACTAATAAAAAATGATTTACACAATCACTTCCAAATACAGTAAAACGTTTTCCAAAAAATATTTTTCAAAAAATATAATTTATTTTACAAAAATTATTTTCCAAAAAGTGTTTTCACTTAAACAAACAGACCTAAATATGATTGCGGAATATTTTTTCTTTCATTGTCGTTGCTTGAAATAATAAAAATGACTGTCTCTTTCAAAAAAGAACAGCCATTTCGACATAGCCTTTGATTAGTTGACCAAGTAGTAGCACAGCTGCATGCATAAAAACCACGAGTGACGATGGGAACAGGGAAAAGAAAATAAGATTAAAATTTTCATAAAATGTACAGCTCATGATTATTCATAGGCATAAAACAGACAACACCATGTAAGCGGCAAGCCTCTAGCACGATACCATGTAGTTTCGACAAATAGGCAACAACCAATCACATAGTTAAACCAAGATCCGAGTGGTTACAAAAGAACCAACTTAATCAGACAGGGCTTAGCAATTGATAAAGTTGGGGCTTCGGTTCAGAGTTCATGCCGATAATGATCACCAGAGGAATGAAGCCATAATGTGTTGCCACTTTGGCTTTCTTCATAGCCCATGTGCTCCACTCCTTCAAGCACTGTGCAGCCGATTTCTCATCCGAACCCTTAGACCCCTTCCCTCCTTTGCCTTTAGTCTTAAGCGAAACTCTGGATGCCATTAAAAAAAGTTGGTTTGATTTTCCTCAATTCTTCGCAGATTTGTTAGGATAAACCTATTGCATTATAAGGAAGAAATTTGTTCAGTAAAAATAGAAAATGCCAA